TGTATATTCTTTGGTATACAGTTAGTCATCTGCATAAAATGTACACTTCAGCATTAAAATTTATAAAAAAATTTAAAACACACAAACTTAGAATCTCATGAGCACACACTCTCCTGTGACAAATGATTCAGACATAAATAGTGGGTGCAAAGAAACTATATGCTAACATATGAATAACCTTTGTTAATGAAAAACAGAAGCAGCCGTAATGACTAAGATACATTCAGTTACTGATAACTAGTTGTGCCCTTCAGGGCATTATCGAAAGAGAAATCGTGCTGCAGAGAAAAGCTATATATACACACAATGAGAAAATAAACTGCAAGATTAACGCATGCATGTTTAATACTGGAAAAATCACAGCCCTCCAAAATTTCTCCATGTTTGTTATAAAAGCCCTCTGCACTCAACTAAAATTAAAATGATCTTAAAAGGATAATACTTGTAAAGTTTAAGTCTTTTCAGCCACAGAAACTGCAATGGAAATAAATGTTCAGAGTCATTTTCAAAACAAAAACAAAAATCTATTCTTCTGATGACATGCATGATTAAAAGGTCTATGCAAGATACATTGCTCTACATTCCCAATGACTAGGAAAAAAAAGTCAAGTCAATTTTTAGTTTGCAGATGGTCAAAGGATTTTGTATTCCAGCAGGAGTTCAAATCTTCTGGATCTTTTCACCAACAACTACTGGATTTTCTTTTCTGATTTTCTCAGCAGCATCGGCTTTGTAATTGTAAGAGCAATTGTGTACATCTGAGTAACGGTGTACGCCACAGTAAACATTTCCACACCGGCATTCAAACCCTGAAAATGAATTAACACACATATATGAGTTGGATGGAAGGGCGACAGATTAAGGTCTTTGGCATAATTAATACTAAACAGCACGACTTATCTAGGACAGAAATCTAAAGAGTCATTCTAAATAAACAGTTTCACAAACTACATCCCCAAAGTTCCCTACCTGATAGCTTCATTTCTTGTTCTGACCTATACACACGTTTGAACTAGAACAAGTCTTCTCTGAGCTCAGGTTTCTTCACCTGTGACAGGGCCACAATTATTTCCTATCAAAAACGGTTGCTAGACTGAAGATGTGAATCATTTTTCAAATCCAAATACTGCACTATGAAAAATATGCCTACTATGAGAAGGTAGTCTTAAAATTTAAGGAAGATAAAATAATATTAACAAATAACACAGTATCCACATTCGCTTTCCTCTGCTACCCTCCAAGGGAGATGAAACCACCCCTCGGCCAAGAGGCTCAGAACTGTAAGGTATGGTGAAACTGTTGGAAATCAACATAGGAATCAATATTTTAAACATTAACATCTGATGTTAACCTCCTTGACCACACTTTTTACTTCAGAAACATATGCCGTTAATTTCGTAACAATGCATAAAAAATGGAGCAAACAACACTAGATTAGACAGACAGATTGGACAAGATGGAAATAACCATATCTCAGCCTTCTAATCATGAAGTCTGAGTTTTTGTAGGTTTAGAAAGACTATCTTTGACACTAAATGTATATTTTAAGATGTCTAATTTGTCCATGTTTGTATTCTTTAATTTGCCAAGGTATGGGCCACTCTGATGCGTCTTTGACATCACACTCTAACCTCACTTCTTCATTGCTAACGCATTCCGGAGTATTCTGCGCGATGCCTGGCGTGTGCTAACTACAGCGGCGACTGCTTTCCCACAATGAACCACGGCACAGCTGACCTTTGCACGACGCAGCGGTCGTGGGCGCAGACCCCGTGCTGTCAAAAATTCAGGGTGACTTTATGCCCCCAAACTTAACTATGAATAGCCTGATGGCTAAGAACCTTTCTGATAACAGGAACAGTCAATCAATACACAGAATCCACATTTTGTATGTTAATGTATTATACGCTATATACTTACAACTAGGTAAGCTAGAGAAAAGGAAATGTTCTAAGAAAAACTTAACAGAAAATGTATTCAGTATTCATTAAGTGGAAGTGGATCATCATCGAGGTCTTCCTCCTTGTCTTCACGCTGAATAGGCTGAGAAAGAGGAGGAAGAGGACAAGGAAAGGTTGGTCTTGCTGTCTCAGGGGTGGCAGGGAAGCAGGGAACTTTGTAGAAATACGTGGTAATTGGTCTGACTCTTCTGCTTTGTCATTTCTCCAAAAGCGTCTCCGTACGGCACCGATCCTCCTTCCACCACGTGCTCTGGTTTCAGTGCCCGTACCACAGAGAGCGCAGAAGTAACAGGTCAGAGCAGTCGTGGACCACGGAAACCTTCTGCCAGACTGTCCGACGCCAGCTTGTTTTCTGGCACTGCTGCTTCCACCTCTTCTTCCTCCCTGCCTGGCACCGGCTCACAAGACTCATCTCCAGCAAGCGTCTTCTTCAATTCCCCTGGTGTGGTGTCTGTTAGCTCCTGAATTTCCCCAAGATCCACACCCTGCACCCCCAACCTTTTTCCACATCCACAGTCTCTGTCATGATTTCCTTGACTGACTGTCACATAAACCCTGCAAAGTCATGCACAATCTGGACGTAGTTTCTGCAGGAATTGTTTCAGGGCTGACGGCTTTCATGGCTTTTTCCGCAACAGCAATGGCATCTTCAATGGTGTGATCCTTCCAGACATCTGCGGCATGTTCTCTATCAGGGTTCTCTTCCATAGTGTTGACAGTTCTTGCCACAGAGCGCTACGTGCAATGAGCCTTAAACCCTTAGGACTCCTGATCTAGAGGCTGAATTAGAGACACTGTGGGGGCAACCCAAAGACTGGCAGCAGGTGAGTATCTTTCCCTGCAAGGCACAGGGGTGAGCAGCTTTACAGGTAAGGAAAGTCCTGATCATAAACCTAACTGCATTTGAACAAAACAGAGTTAACCTATCCTTTCCTGCCCTCCATCCTGTGCTCACTTCTCTTCCTTACTAATGAATGTTCCTTGTGGCATATTTTTCCAGAACAGGCATTTTCATCTGCGTGAAAAACCTGTTCAGGAACATATCTTCTCTCCTCGATGATTTCCCTAATGACATCTGGGAACTTGTCTACTGCCTCTTGGTCAGCAGAAGCTGTTTCTCCTGTTATCTTGACATTTTTTAATTTCAAACCTCTTTTTAAAATTATCAAACTCTCCTTTGCAGGCATTAAATTCTCCACTTTTAGATCCTTCACCTTCTTTTTGCTTTAAGTTGTCATATAATGAATTTGCTTTTTCTCAAATCTTGAGTCTAGAGTCGAAGTACGCCCTTGCTAATAGCAAGCCTGCACCCACATAAAAGCTGCACTTTCAATAAGAGATAAAAAGGAAATTCACAAAAGCGCAAGGTTTTCACACCTGCTGACGTAGCTGCAATGATGGCTTCACAAATTCCCTTTTCCTTTTTCACGGTGGTTCTTGTGCCACGTTCATTTATTCTGAAATGGTGGCAGCTGCAGACCTCAATCGAAGGTACGTATCAAACAATTCAACCTTTTCTTGTAATGTGATGACTTTTCTCTGCTTTTTGGGAACACTTACATCATCATTAGTGGCACTTCAAAGGGGTCCCACGGTGTTAATTCAAAGTTTACGGGGCTACACTAAACACAACAAAAAATACACGAGCGCTGCCAGAGATCGCTTTTTCACTATGATAATGCCATTTACCGGACAGCCACACTGCTTACTCAGAGACGACTGTGGCACACAGAGTTTAAGTGGAAACTCCAACACTTGAGCTCAGCACAAAAGCAACAGTACAGCATGTGCTACAGTAAATCTTACGCAGTTTTGATTTTACACTACGTCTTTACATTTACATTTCTCTACTGCGAATGGCTGCACGTACGGACTGCAAGTTGTAAGTTTTGATACATTTTAACTTATATACTAGATTTGTGTATATTTTATGGTAGGTAAAGGATAAAACATACTAATATCTACATATATTTTATGCACTCATGACATAATTCACTTTTTCTTAATTTTTCCTATATTTTTAGGCTATGTGGTTCATCTTTGAGTTTTTAAAAATTACTGAAAATCTCCAAAAAATTTTCCAATATATTTACTGAAAAGAATTCACACATAAGCGGACCTGAGCAGTTCACACCTGTGTTGTTCCAGGGCAGGCATCTCTCCACTCCCGTCTGACTGTGGCACGTCGCGTCCTTCTTCACACACACTCTGTGCTGCGCTACGTTCCCTAATTCACGGTCCCTGAATACGCTCTACTCTTTTATGTCTCTGGCCTTTGGTTCAGTCGTAAGTCCTACTCCTTGTGCAAGACCCAGGTGAAACGTTGTCTTCATGATGCCTTCCTTGCTGGGTCTCTAAGAACTCCCATTCTTTCACGTAAATTAGTTACTCCCATCCCCGAATTCCCAGAGCAATCTCACTGCACTTAATGCACCTTCTTTGCTAGATACTTAGGAACACGTGTCTCTCTTCATAACGGCAGCATCTGACAGCTCCGTTACAGTAGCCAGCACACACAGATTATTTATCGTGCAGCAGTACCGGCTAACGTGTCTTAACTCACGGAACACACACGATGCCTGTGATCCGCCCATTTCACATGTGGGAAGTATGCGCAGCTCGCCCGGACTCCAGCGTCAACATTGTCCCCTCGAATGCCGAAGCCACGTCTCTGCCCTGTCACAGCACCTGGCACACTGACTTCACTTGTCCAATACTCTCAAATTCAGGTGAAATAAATTTCTAAAAGAAAAGCTACTCATTTTACTTTCAGGCATATAATTAAAGCTGTTTTTATTTCTTTAAGGAAATTCAGAAGCTGAAGTGTATCCAATATTAACTCTCAATGGGAACTGAAACAATCTTAATTAAAGTCAGTAATAGTAAGCCATGCATTATTCTAAAATATAATCTTAATTTTAAACCACTTGATTTAGGCCCTTACCAGTAAGTCCCACTTTCTTCCTGCACATGAAACAGCGATTCTTTTTTTGTTTTGGTTTTTCAAGAGACTTGCTTTGCTCTTCAGATGGCTGCTGTGCCGTGTCTGATACTGAAGCTGGCAAAAATAGGAAGGTGATAAAATTTAATTATTCGGTAAGACTTTCCCACCTGGGTGGTTGCTGTCCCTCATGCCACCCCCATGGGTCTCTCATTCGGAGGATAGCAGAGGAATGTATCTATTGATCAGCACGAGAAGTGGTTCGCACTCAATCATGAAGTTGTTTATAAAATACGACGTCCCTTTTGTTGAATGTACATACATATACACATGCAGAAAATAATCTAGACTATATCACTGACACGTTAACAGTGGCTCTACAAGGTGGATTATACATTTTCTTTTTTTGGTTTAAAGTATATTTTCTAATTTTTCTAATAATTATATATTTGACCAATAAAAGGTACATACAAAAATACTTGGGTATTCTTACAGGACCGTGCAAGACAAGAGCCATATGCAAGCGCCTTAATATTGTTTGAGGTCAGAACTATTCCGATTTCTCAGAGAACAAGGGAAAAAAAGGAAAACCAAGATTCTGTGGCATACTAAGCATTGTATATTTCACATAAAAACATTTAAAATGTTAGAAATGAGATAAATTAATGCAAAGCAGCTTTAAAATGTTATAATTAAGATAATAAATTAACACTTTTATGTATTGAAACCAAGGCCAGACGTACCAAGATTCAGGTGAAATTACTATTCCTAAACCCTAACTAATGTGCTCACCCCCCTGCCTGTTACCCACCGCCCTGGCCCTTCTGAATGCTGCCACCAGATCAGAGTCTGTAATACGACCTGACACGGTCAGTATCTTGCTTTAGTACAGTGATTTGCTATGGGTCACATTTATTAACTCTCCGATTTTATCACCCAGGAATCCACTGTTGCACCAGTCCACACTGGGAATATGCCACGCACCTCTGCTCACACCTCTACCTCTTACGACCGACTTTTCTCCCTCATCGATCTAGATCCTCTTCTTTCTCAAGGCCAAGACCCTCATTTCAATTCTCTGCAGCTTCTCACTCTAATTACTCTTAACACCCTTATCAAATACTGGGGACCCCACATGAGCCCCCTCTTCAATCCATGCTTCACACATTGCATATAATCATCTGCCTTAAGTGGAAATCACATGATGTTCTCCCTAACGTTTAAAATTCTTTGATGGCTCCCCACTAACCCTCCCAGGATAAAGCCAGAGATCCTTCAGGATTTTCTTCGTCCTTTTTTCTCTAGCCTCATCTCTGACCATTCCTCAGTGCTGCTCCATGCGCCAGCCATGCTAAAGTACCTGGAGTTTCCCTGGACTCACCCAACTCCCACCGCTGGGCTCTTGAACAATACTCACTCCATGCCCCTCTTGTCCTTCTCTTTACCTGGCTAACTCTAACTTGTCTTTCTTGTTTAAATTTATATAATCAACTCTTACTACACTGCCTTGGATTGGGAAACCTTACTAGGAGCTCCATGGCACTTTTCATGTTATTATAATTGCCTGTTTGACTTAACCTAGTTTAACTGAATTCTCTGAGGGTGGGAACCTGTCCTATTCATTCCCATCACCAGGGCCTGCCCAGTGCCTACCCCCATGCAGCAGGCACTCGCTACATAAACAAATGTCTGCTGAGCTCATTACTGAGTCACTGACCTACTGCATTTCTGAGCCTCTTTCCCCAACTACACCATCAGCCTGCCGAGGACAGGGATGGTATCCTATTCCGTTGGAATCTCCAGCACCTTGCATGGTGAAGTATACAGAGGATGCTCAAACATTTGCTGTCACGGATTCTAACCTACTATGTTAACACATTATCTCATATTTTGACAAAATATGACAAAAGGTAAAACACCATAAACTAACATGTAAATATGCACTAATGAACTCTATAGCATGATTTCTTCACCTAGACATGCTGAAGCTAGACAGGAGACAGTTCTAGTAATATACCGTCAACATTTTATTTTTGAAACAGAATATAGACACGTAAAATCTTTTATTTTCAGTAAGTAAATATCCCTAGAATGTAAGCTCCATCAAGTCAGGGGCTGAATGTCTTGTTTACTATTTCATCCCCAATCCCTAGAACAGTATTAAATGAGCTTTAACTATATGTCCAGAGCTTAAAAATAGTTTAGCTTGCAATCAGAAATAAAACTAGTACATTTATTATCTTTAAAATCTATAAGCCATAATATCTAACCTGTTCTCCAAAAATAGTCTGATATTCAAATAAACTAATACAAATAATGCTATGATGGCAGTAACACTATCACAATATTATATTTTTAAATGAACTGGTTTAACTACTGAGACAAATTTTGAATGGGATCTGGGAATGGAGAAGAGTGAAAATGCATTTACCTGCTATGCATACAAATGCTACTGCACACCTCAACAGAGACATTTCACAATTTGAACCCTAAAGACCTAAGGCAAATGATTCCCTTTTAGCTGAGGCAAATGTGCAGTTTTAAAGTTAAGGATCAATGGGCTATCTAAAAGCTTGTAAGCTAGGGCTCAAATGTGAGACCAATGAACGTCAACTACATACCCATGAGACTAGGGTAGCCGCAGCTCACCTGAAACTAGTGGCTGACATCCCTGAACTTGACAGTCGACAAATGAATTCATGGGCAAAACAATACAGACTTTGTACAAGTCTATGATTCCCCAAAACTACCGTCTCCTCAGTTTATATGTAGTCTTAAGACCAAAGAACACCTCATCAAGTTTTAGTTATGTAAAAAGGAAACAATTCAATCGTTAAAGGGGCTATACAATGGCCTAAAGGCCAAAGAACCATCATCTTATTGTACCTAAAGCCAACACAAGGACAGTTTCCTCAGAACTAGGTGGGTGTTTGTATTCTGAAATGAGAACGAGACATGGAGACGGCCTGCTTGCTAACGATTAATAGGCCAGTGCCTATGTGGCATCCACCAGTCGCGAAGGTCTGTTTGGGAGGCTGATGTGATGGCGTAAAGGCCGTGAAATAAACGGTACAGCACTTGCTGAACTGATTTTCAGTGGCATCCCAAATACACACAGTCCACTGGGCAGTACTACTAAGATACTTCAAAAAGCACCAGGCAGGTAAAATTAGTTTAACTACCCACATGGAGGATCACATTCAAGAGGAATAAGGCCCTCTGCTCTGGGTCCTGTAAAAAAAAAAAATAAAATAAAAAGTGCACAAATATAACAATAAGTACATAAAACTATTTAGTACTTCCTCTCTTTGGGGCACATTCATACATATGGTGAAAAATAAAATTGAACATTACATTAATAGGTAGCCCCCAAACGTTATCTTTATATACCTAATTGGTCTTCGCCACAGATACAGTATCTACCTAATACAACACGTATCCTTCCCTCGAAAGTCATGACCAATCTCACTCCCGAACTAGACAGCATGTTCAGGTTGGCGGCTATTTCTGCTCCACTGTACACCCGGTGCTAACACAAATCAAGGGATCAACAGATACTTACTGAACAGAACGTGCAACTGTTACAATGAACCACTGGGATAGAATTCATTTCCCCTCTCTGGCCCTCATTTTCTCATCTGCAAAATAAAGGCTTGAACCTAATGAACTTTAAGCTGCTCCTAGCTCAAGAATTCTTTAAAAAATGAGAAAATTTTAAATAGTCAAAAGAGAAAAATATGCCCATATTAGTAGCAGCATCCAAAATAAATTAGTCATATAATTTTATACTTTTTAGTAGACACATTAGAAACAGGTAACATTAATATATTATTTCAAAATGTAATCAATATAAAAAGTTTTAATTGAATATTTTACATTTTGGGAGTATTAAGTCTTCAAAACCCAGTGCAGACATTATACTTACAGTGTAACTAGCATATAAGAATGTACTAAAAGTCTCATTCTGGATTAGGTACATTTCAACAGCTCAATAGTTACACGAGGCTAGCGGCCACCACACTGGACAGAGCAACTCTATAGATGAAATCCGTTTCTGTAGCATTTGTCTGTGGGCAAAAAACTGTTACTTAATCTTCCTAAAACACTCTCACTCTGTCACCCAGGCTGGAATACAGGGGTGCAATCACAATCACTGTAGCCTCCAACTACTGGGCTTAAGTGATCCTCCTGCCTCAGCCTCCCAAAGCGCTGGGTTTATAGGTGTGAGCCACCACACATGGCAGCCAAAACACAGCTTTGTGTCATCTTAAAAAACCAAACCAAACCAAAAAAAAACAACAAAACATTCAAAATGACTCTCTTCCCTTCCCACTGATTAGAACCAAATACCTTCGTGATTTTCCATTATCTGGTTCCAAACAACTTTTCCAGCTTTAGTTCCAACATATATTTGTCTCAACGGGCCATTTCAGCAACTGGTTATCTCACTATTTCCCAAATTTCATGTTTTCTACCTGTATGCTTTTGCTCTCACCATTTCTCCTCCAGCAAAAGCCCTCTTCAACTGTCTTTGGGGGTGGCGTGGGGGGTATATAATTTACATACTATAATATTCACACTTTAAAGTATATAATTCAGTGGTTTTAGTATATTTACAAAGTTGTGAAATCTCACCACTATCCAATTCCAGAACGTTCTAGTCACTCCAAAGCAAAACCCCAAACCCATGAGCAATCACTCCCTACTTCCCACTTTGCCCAGCTCCTGGCTACCACTAATCTTGCTGTGTGTATGTCCTACTGTGGACACTGCATATGAATGGAATCATACAGTAAGTGGCCTTTTGTGCCTAGCTTCTTTTACTTAGCATGTTTTCAAGGTACATTCATGCTGTGGTATCAGAATTTCCTCCCTTTTTGTGGCTGAATAATATTCTAGTGTATGAATACCACATTTTGTTTATCCAATCATATGCTGATGGCCAACTGGGTTTTTTCCATTTTTTGTTATTATGAATGATGCTGCTACGAACATTTGTGTGCAAGTTTTTGTGTGGACTCGTGTTTTCAATTCTCTTGGGAATCAGAAGTAAAATGATGGATCATATAGTAATTTTATTTAATTTTATAAGGAACTACCAGACTGTTTCCCAAAGCATTTGTACCATTCTACATTCCCACCAACAACATAGGAGGCTTCTCCACATCCTTGAAAACTTGCTATTGTTACTGATTCTAGCCATCCTAGGGGGTGTGATGTAGTGTCTCATGGTTCTGATTTCCATTTTCCTAATGACTAATGATGACACTGAGCATCTTTTCATGTGCTTATTGGCAACCTGTATATCTTCTTTGGAGAAATGTCTATTTGAATCCTTCAGTTATTTTTTAATTGGCTGTCTTTTAATTGTTGAATTATAATTATCCGTGTATTCTTATCAGATACATGATACGAAAATATTTTTTCCCATTCTCTGGGCGGTTTTTCCACTAGTACCCTTTGAAACAAAAACTTCTAAATTTTAATGTAGTTCAGTTTACCTGTTTTTTCTTTGGCTGCTTGTGCTTTAGGTGTCATATCTAAAAAACAACTGCCTAAACCAAGGCCACAAAAATTTATACCTGTTTTAGGAGTTTTATAGTTCCAGCTCTTACATTTTTTTAGATTTTTGATGTATTCTGGGTGAATTTTTGCATATGGTATGAGGTGGGGAGGTCCAATTCATTCTTTTGAATGTAGATATGAGGTTGTCCCAGTCATTGTTTGTGGAAAAGATCATTATTTTCCCATTGAATGATCTTGGCACCCTTGTTGAAAATCAATTACCCATAAGAGTGTATTTCTGAATTCTCAATTTTATTCCACTGATCTATATGATTATCCTCATGTCGGTATCACACGGTCTTCATTATGCAGCTTGTATTAAATTGTGAAACCGGGAATCGTCAGTCCTCCGATACTCCTGTTCTTTTTCAAGGTCGCTTTGGCTATCCTCACCCATGCTTCAAGATCAGAAGAAGGGCCTGATTTTTTAAAGAGACTGTTCCCCTCTGATTGCTCCAAATCAATGCTTTGACAACTGAACTTTGTATGATGTCAAGAACCCTTAAGAGTTGGAAAGAGCCTCAAAATTCTAGCTCATCCTCCCACTCAGTGTAGCACCTGCCTCTGCACTGTTCCACTCGGCAGGTGACTCCGCCTTCTTAGAAAGTTTCAGTGACACAGAGCTCACCGCCTTAACACGATTTCACTCCACTGTTGGGAAGCTTCAAAATTATCTCTTATTCTAAGCCTCCTATACTCTCAAATCACTTTGGCATCGTACAGAGTAAGAATATCCTTTGCAGTTTACAAAGCTCATTTTACCTCTATTATCTCAATAACTTTTAATACCCTATAAAGGGGACATGCTTATCATTCTCCTTTAAAAGTAATACAAATAAGACGCAGAGAGGTTAAGTGGGGCTGTCAAGATATGAAAACAGAAACTATGAATCCAAATTCCTTATTTTTTTTTACTATGACCCAAGATGTGAGTGACTGAGAGATTAGCCAAATTTAAGCATATTGTTCAAAAAAGGCAGCCAGTCAAGTATGATAGTTTTAGAGTATACCAAAATACTTAAAAGTCTGTTTGTAAAAGCTGGCCTTTGTGAATTAGCAATCTGACTGACGTTCATTCCTAAGTGACACTATGTGAGGTACTATTTTTCTTAAATTAAAAATCATAATTAAATGAGAAACATGCTGCAATATGTCAAATTCTCAGTTAAACATAAAAATTCTTCAGGGATATGAGGCCAAAATGAAAGCAGCACCACCCACCTGGTGGCAGCATATCCTAATTACAGGCAGAAAACCTGCAGAGAAAAAAGCTGTTCTGAAAACGCCAATAAAACATGTTGGGAAATGCTGGCTTAGACACACAGCTGCTACTCATATACCCTCTTCCATCTGGGATGGTCTTCCCACCTACATAAATGCCCTCTGAGGGAGGCAAACGGATTGACAGGAAGAAAACAGATACCTGTGTAGCTTGCCAACCCAGCGGACCCTACTCTGGGAACTGCAGGGGACTGGATGTGTCGACAGGAACATACGTGTCCACAACCCAGTCCAATAAGCAGCACAACTGCCCGTGGAAAGAAGACTAGCCTAGAGTCGGGTGCCTGGATTCTACTTCTAGCTCATACAACCATATGACTGAATCGAAGACTTTTTCTCTCTTTTCATCCATCTATTAAAATAGATGAAAAAATTTTCTCTGAATTTGTTCTATTGAACAAGGAAATCATCATAAGCGCATGTAAGTACATAGGAGTTTATATATAAACACGTTTATATTTGTGTATTGTTTATATCGAGGCATTTTTAATTCAACAACATCAAACAGTTTTTAAAACTAGGCTATTAAAAAAGATTTTACGTTGAAAACTAATCCTCTCTTGAACTCAGCTGAAACTTATACCTAATTTATCAAAGATTCTGCTATGCTGAAATTATAAATGCTAAGCTTTTTTAAAAGGTACTTAAAAGTTAATATTGGTTTAACCTGAAAGTCAGTCAAATTATACATGGAGTCTAAGTTTTAAAAACTCTACAATTTCTCCTAATATGATATCATGACTGCGGACTGAATTAATGTACTCAGGCTAGGAGGAGGAAACTACGCTCTTCTCCACGTACCACGAGTGGTATAAAAGCACTTCCTATTACGATAGCTCACTAACCTACAATCTTTATTCTCTGTCAAATTTGCACAATTGCTATCGTGTCCTTAAGCTTTACACATTTTTTTCCACTACCAACATTCCAAAATTTGTTCTATCAGAAGACATAAGTAACATTTTCATGATTAGCAGCCTGTTTTCTTCCTAACTTCTCTGTCTCTCAAAACTGCTACACAACCCTTGCCTCCTGAAATTCTCCTTTGGCATCTATGGTCTGAAACCAGCCAGGATCCAGGTGGCTTCTGTCTCTTTTTTGCTGGCTCATCCTCCTGCCTAATCCCTTGTTTTTAAACTCTCACTTTTCAACCTGTGCTTGGCTGAGATTCTAAATCTCAGGTATAATACTTATTACTCCACACATAAAATGCCTACTACGCATCTACAACCTCCAAATGAGCCCTTTCAGTTCTGAAAGTTGATAACTTCCAACTCATTGTATCTACAATTTTGTCTAACCACGTTACCTTTTCCAGCCTCCTTGTCTGAGGTGACCACACCTTTGCCACTATCATAAAATCGGAAGCTCTGACACCACCCTGTCTCCTTATCTCCCATGTCCAGTGATAACTGAGTCTTGGAGTTCTTTTCTTTTTTCTGCTTTTAAAATACCCATCGTCTCTGCCCTTCCTTAAATTTTTCTATTTAACTAAAAAATAAAAATCTGTTCACTTACAATATTTATGAATTTATAATGATATGCTAGGTGGAGTAGAATATTTATGTTGACCATATAGTAATCTTTTGCTACAGCAAAATCTACAAAAATAGGCAAATTATGTCAAGTATTAGTTGGGCATGAAATCAAAGCCAGGTAATTATCTAGCTTATCTAAATTTAAAATTTAGCAAACTAAAACTAAGACTGCCAGATTTATCCGTCCCCATAATGTGAGCCCCACGCACGATGGGAAGTGTCACTGGTCAGGCAGAACTGCACCTGCTCATCCTGGGGCTTGTGTTCCAGAGACCCTTCCTGGGTTAACACAGGGCTCCCACACACTGCTGGAACGTAACCAATGAAGCATATGTTATTTCATGGCCTCCTCCTGGCCTGCTCTGCACTGTCCTTCCCCACTAGGAAAGCCTTCACACAAATACAAAAGTCCTCCTGGATCACTTTGCTCCAGATGATGCGGATATGAAAAGCACAAGCACGTGCCAGGACACGAGGCACTGTGATGTGGACACGAGCAACCGCGAGTGGCTGCTGCACTGTAAATCACAGACAGGGAAGGCAGGGTGACTGCCAGCCAAGTTGTACACAGCCTCGTAAATAATTTGAGTCAAAAAACAAGAGAAACAGATTCCCCTCAAACCAGCAGATCCAGTCTGCTTGGAGAGTAAATAGTTTTTAGATTAAACTGATCAAAATAGTAAGAGAATAGTCTAACACTGCCACATGTTCATTAATTATATTATTCAAGCTAAACAAAATTTTGAATTTTAGATGTTTATGCTGATGAAATAATTACTTGTGATAAATGGCTCCCAACATTTCAGAAAATTAAATACTTGAGGATATAAACTATTATGTTCATAAAGAAAATAAGGAGAAAAATATGTACTTTAAGTACGCAATTTTTTTTAAGTAGGTAACTTTTTACACATGTGCCTAGGATAGTGTCTGGCCTACAACACTGACATCTTAGATAATGACAAAACACACGTGAGTTCATATGCAAACCTGGCAGATCTTCTGTTTCAGGTACTGCTTTGTCCACAGATGTACTGTCCAGTTGGGAAGATGCTACAGATTCTGATAAAAGTGATTGATTTGAAATAGGGCTAGAAAAGCAAAAATATTTCATTTTAAAAGATGATCTTCACACATGAATATTAACTAAAGCAATATAATAAAAGTTTAAAGTATCTAAGTAGATCATTATGATAAGAACACCAATATACTTTTTTATAACTTAAACATAATCACAGAGCTTTGAAACTGGAAACCAATTTGGATGAGAATTTTATAGCCTTGGAAATAAAGCAATAGTATATATCCTTTGTGTATTTCAAGTACCACATGAATTCACTAAGTGAAAACTAGCATGATAAAGACGTGCTTAAGGAACCCTAATGGAAAGCTGCGAATGATATCTGGGCATAGCAGAACTGAACATCTCCTGTCATGAACTGGAAAAAAGGAACCATAGTATAGAAACTTAATATATTGGTTCTTGACAGCAGAATAAAAATGGAACACACATTTCTGTATGCAGGCTTCTAAATGGTGTGATTTCAGAGTTAAAAAGAAAAATATATTAAGATATAAACAAAAATGAGTACTACACAATGATATTAAACAAAGAGAACCTGTGACAAGACTATTTTTTTTTAATACAAGTCAATAATACTTGCAGAATAAAACTAAAATTTAAAGAACTTAACATGCTTCAAAAGGACTTCAAGGGTGGGTCAGGATATACTATGAGGAAGAAAAACAGAAACAGATGACTGAAAAGGTAATCTAAGACTTAAAACAGAACCCCCACCCCATAATGTAAAAATAAGAAAAAGCTTTTTCTAACTGGTTAATAATCACACAGATACAATTTAAGGCCAGTTAACCCTAAAGTGGCTTTACACAGTTTTCCCTAATAGAATAGATCAAAAATAGAACGTATTCTTCACTTTTCCTGAGCATTACAATTACATTTCAGAGACTACATCTTACCTTGGCTGCATAGATGAAGATGTAGAGTCTAATGCTGACTGAGCTTCTGGGACACTGCCATCTGTGCACTGAGCTGGCAAAGACTCAGACAGACTACTGACGGAAGTTGCTGTAACAGTACCACATTTCATATTAGTGATTCTATACCCAGGGCAGTCTAGGACCTTATCTAAAAAAAAAAATCAAGGTCAATTTTCCACAAAATATAGTGTCTGGATTTTGTTTTACTGTGTAATATGTTGATTCATTATTTTTAGTTAAAAAACTTTAATAGCTCTCAAATGAAAAATATGTAAATTTTAACCAAAAAGGAAACCATATACAAATTGTTTACATTAATAAACTAAACTCCTATTTCTCAGGACCAAATATCACCCAAACCCAAATCCTTTAATTCAAAAACATCTTCCAAGTGCTAGTATACAAATGAGAGATTTAAAATAAAAGATAATTTAGCAGTAAGGCAGACATTCTAAACCTTAGAAATAAACCTGGGCTTAGCACATTATGTTTTATTATTTTCCCTGTACTTCATAAAGCAGAAATGTAGATGATGACTTAATTTAAAAACAATTTATATTCATTAGATCTTAGCCTTGAGAAAATCTGGAGAAGTTTCTAGTAAATGGTTGTAGTTTTTGGCTTGAAACAATGATAAGAAAGACCTCATACAAAATTTTAAATGAACAGCGTCATAGCCTGCACTTTCATTAAGCACAAAAATCTATGCAATTTAGGCATTAACCTACATGAGAACTATCCTATATGAATACTTTGACACTTCCCTTATGCAGAGCTTATATTCGGAATTTCCTCAGTTCCAGGAAAATCCTTTGCACAACAAAAAGGCATGAAAAACCCAAGGGAACTGGGGTTGACTATCCCTTACTCTGAGTTAATCCGTTACACCCCACCTGATGAAGGCAGGCTTTCTCTAAAGTCAGCTGTAGTTACTGATAATCTCCTCTTTTCTTCAATAACTAACTTAGCTGCAGATAAAAGAACCAAGGTTCTTTTGTAGCCTCCACTCCCTTACCTTACTTTCCAAGACGGCTATACAGACATCGGGTGTCTCTCTATTTAAAAACAGTAGTAGAGTTCTGCAGCACAGCAAATAAGACTATGGAATGGATTGATAGCATTTTCAATGAGCAGTGATACTCTTATTCCTGATTCCCCACCTCTGATCATATCACAATGCGCAATGAAAAATTTTACTGATAGAAATGCGATAATGCGAGCACAATGTGAGAGCAGGAAGAGGTATTGGGTACAACCAACTACCTAGGTGTATTTCAATTATGAATACTGTTTTAACAGAATTACTTACCAGGCGGGCTTATTCTACCATTACTACTATTCTGTCTTTGAAGATGTTCTTTATAGCATACCGAACACATGCCATTTGTACGAGGGTTTCCGTAAAATCCGCAGCCAGTGGAACAAAGCATAGGCACTTGGCTGTGATTAGTTTCTTGAGCCATGTTCCTCTGTTGCACACCTGAAATTTATAGAGAATTAGCAAAGAACGCAGACACAAAACTCCCATCATACCTTATCCAATAAAGGAAAATATCCACATGTATTACCCCTCAAACCACTCTCTCTAACTGTCCCACAACCTAGGGCTAAAGCTAAAGAGAAAAATAAAGACCAAAAGGATACACGCTGAACTTTTATCTCCACCCTACTCCACACAAGCAGGTCTGCACAGGCTCGAAAGAAAGTACAAAGTACTCCTAAAGGAAGGTATCCCCAGAAGGTTAAGGAAAATCCCTTACATCTAGCTCAGTTTGGCCTCTCCTAGTAATAAGAAATGTAAATTATGAGTTTTGCTATATGTTACGCTCTTTAATTTCTAAGTATTAAAACTTTTGCTGGAAGTTCATATACTAACTTGTACACAGCATATTTATAATGATAAATTAAAAATAACCTAAATATCTAACATTAGAAGAATGGATTTTTAAAAAAGTATCATACATATTAATGACAGAAGTTATGCAGTCATTGAAAATACAGAATACTTAAAAACCCAAGTGACCTGGTTAGAATACTTTTGATGGGGGAAAATGCTTATAATGAATGAAAAGGCACAATATGAAATGTACATAAAACATGTTGCCGGTTAGGAGAAAAAGGAGCATCTATATATCATCAAAAAGGTTAGTAGAGAACATGTCCAAGGATGGAAAAGCTAGTGACTCTTTTTCCTGATTTGTACTTTTTCTGTACTTTTAAAATTCTCTAAAATGAAGACACCACTTGCCTAACTAGAGGGAAATAATTTACTTTTTTAAGTATTTAAAAACAAAAACTAAAATTAAAAACAGGACAGAGGCATTAGTCAGCCAGGGAAGTGATGCTGGGACTGAGGAACTTTTTGGGAACCACATTAATAATCAATTACAGCAGATGGGAGAACCTCATGTGTCATTTCTCCATAAAGCAACTGGTTCTTTGGCATAAATAACATGACAGAAGGTGCTAACAGGCTCTCTCTCTTATCAAAAGGCAACTTCCTAAACGAAGGTTTACTCCAAAATGTGTGTATGTGTATTACAGATGAATCTCTGTTCAAAGATCATGAAGAGTGAGACCAACCAAAGGAGGAAAATGTTTTGCCACTGAAACTCCCTGGAACTGAAAAACACTTAAGGAAAGCAGTCGCGGTTCACTATTACCAGATTTCTCTTTGCCTAAATTATCTGAAGACTGATGAGGGGTGGGAAGATTTAATGCAAATTTCACAATCAGGAGCAGTAACACACTTGACTATAACAAAGCAGGCTTTTTGTTTGCTTTTAAAAAGAAATGTCCTAAAACTGTGAGAATATTTAGACCTTCAGCCTAGGAATACAGTTTGGGATTTTGACATGCATCTTCCTTACTCCACGATGACAAGTCATTTCAGAATCCAGATCCCTCCCTCTTCTGTAGTCCTGTAAATATACATATCAAAAAAAAAAAAAATAACAATGATGGTACAGAAAAGCTCATGGCAAATATTTTTGTTGTTTTTTTTTTTCTTGCCTATGTTCATGAGGGATACTGACCTATAGCTTTCCTTTTTTTAAATGTTTGTCTGGTTTTGGTATCAGGGTAATTCAAGGTCATAAAGCTAATTAATAAGTGACAGAGCTGGGATTCAATCCAGGTAGCCTGGCTCCTCCAAAGTCCACACTCTAAATTAAATCAGTGGTCCTCAAAGTATGGTCCACTGACCCCTATGAAGGTCAAAACCGTTTTCAGAATAACACTAAAAAGTTACTTGCCTTTTTCACTGTTATGAACACAAGCACCAGTGGTGCAAAAAAGCAATGGTGGAGAAAAACAGCTGAAGCCGTAGCAAGGCAGTGGCACTAAACTGCGGTAGTAGTGGTATTCTTCAATGTCACGCTCCCATAGTAAAAATTATTAATTTTATTAAATCTTGATCCTGAACACACGTTGTATTATTAATATTTTGCACGATAAACTGGGAGGCAGGCATGAAGCACTCCTCCTGCACAAAGAAGTAGGATGACTGTCTAAAGAAAAAGCACTTGAACAACGTTGAAGCTGTGAGCTGACCGAGTTACCTTTTTAATGGGACATGTTTTTTTATGTGAAAGCATGACTGCTAAACTCATTATGCAGACTAGAGTATAGGGCAGACATTTTCTTACAAATGAAGTACACTTGTTATCTCAAACAACTAATAGTGTTCATCATCAAAGACAACGTTCAAGCATTCAAGTGAAAAAATGCTTAACAAGCATCTCCAATATTTTGAGTTTTCTGGTAAGATCAGTGGTGATATTAACGAAATGTGATTAAAAAATACTGTATCAACATTTCAAGGCCCTTCATAAGACAGTGAGTGAACCAATATTTTCCAAGTGACCAATGTATGATGGTACAAAATTATTCATGAACAAAAGACCCATTCAAAGCAAAAGGGACTAATGAATTTTAATATAACAGGACAAAAGGTTTTTACATGGTTTCAGATTCCATGTCACGACCATCCTTTAAGAAACTACCAACTGTCAAGTTTTGGTGTATTATCAAAGAACAACCCCTATTACCTGAAAAGGTTATTAAAATATTCTTTCCTTTTCCAGCTACATATTAGCCCAGATTTTCTGTATAATACTGTAACAGATTGAATGCAGAAGCAACTATGAGAATCTTGCTATTAAGCCAGATCTTAAAAAGATTTTCAAAAATGTGTTAACAATGTCACTCTTCTCAGTAAAGAATGTAGGGGAGGAGGAAATGATTATTTTTCATAAAATATTTTAAAATGAATTAGTATTTAAAATTTTTTCTCAGCTTTAATTTGTAATATGACAAATATCACTAGCTATAACCCCATAAACAAAAGTTCTTCACAGTATTCAATAATTTTAGAGAATGTAAAGGTTCTGAAATCCAAAATTCTGAGAATCCACTACTATAAAATATGCATTCGCAACACAGGCAGTGGTACCTCAAGGGAGCGAACACCAATTCCTGGGGGAAATGGGGCACAAGAACCCTCACTCTTTATGTATGAAACACACATACACATACAGTACATAAACAGACATACAGTATATGTGTGGAGGTAAAGTTTATAAAGGTGGGGGCCAATTAGGAAAAAAAATGTCTAAAAAGGCCACTTGGAGGGTAACAGAGAAAAAAGACCGAGGAACCCAGATCTAAACCAGCAACTGTGCTACGCTCCCCACTGGTGACATGAGAATGATGAGAGAGAGCAATTACAGGAACCCCCCTGGTGCTGACGACAAGTCTCTCGGCATAGAGCTGGCAATCACAAATGCCAGAGGAGATAAATACTCTATTTCTATAAAACTCAAGTAAATAGAGATAAAAACTACTAAGCTTCTATATCATAATATTTGCTTCAGAACAGTAAGACTGAAGTTCAAAACATGTAACACCAGCAATTTTCCCAAGCCAAACTGCGTGCACAGTAGCAAATTAACAATGATTTTCGTAACTCAAGAGGCACAAAGGATTTCATGGGTTACTTAAAAAAAAAAAAGAAAAAGAATCAACCTCACTTATTCATCTTTAGGCCACAAAATGTACCTTTACATGAAGATTCAGGAAGACCAAAAACCACGAAAGGGTAAAGTAGTTTATCTGAATGTCTAATGGCATCCATGGGGCGGCTCTGGAGAACCTGAAGGGTGCCCCTGCTTACCACTACTGCAGGGCACACCAGATGGCATTCACATGCCCAGGGAGGAAAAGCGTAAGAGAAGAGAAACGAGAAGAGAGAACAATTCCTTCACTGCTGCACTGTGGGATTATAAAGCCACAAATCCAAGGACACAGAAAGCAAGATTACTCTACCAGTCTTAGAAAAATTATTAGGATGATATAATAAACGAGTCTATGAATTGGAGAAGATTCATAAAATGTGAGTTCTGACTCTTCCTAACATTCATAAGCAAAACCACAACCCATTACTCCCTCAAGCCCCCTAGACAATACTTAACAGTTACTCAGTTTATTATGGGCAAGGCACTGTTTTCATTGTTCTATTTATATCTCAATTAATCCTCCCAAGAACCTATGATGTTGGTGCTATTGATATCCTCATTTTGAAAATAAAAAAATGAGACTCAAAAAGTCTTAGTAACTTGCCCAAGGTCACACATCTAGTAAACAGCTCAATCAGAGCCTTTTGATAAATCTAAAAAACAAAAAAAAATTGGCTATCAAAGTCCATCATATCCCTATGAAACTAAAATTTTGTGAGCATTCATGAATGCTTATTACTTTCATTTAAGGAAGAATTTTAAATTTCATTCATTTACTCAATCTTGAGACGGTACATAGCTTTAATTAATTGTAACCACGCTCCTGAAAAAACTTGTTTTTCATGTATGTCTTTTTACCTAGGAAGTTCTTATCAGCACGAAAAATTCAAGATTATTTTATGACTACAAAGAAAATTCATTATCAATTATTAAAATTCTGACAAAAGAACTGTAATGGATGAATGTAACACAGACTCAATTACAACAGCAAATACATGTCAATTAAACTAATTTTCCTTGGCTTTACTCCCTAGAGTTAAGTCACCAGTTCCAATACTTTTCATTTTGAAATGTCTCATGCTCTTTTATTTCCCATTCCAACTGTGGTCCTCATCACTTTGCACCTGGGTTATTTTAATATTTTTTCTTTCTGTTTTACTGCCTTTCATCCCAATCCATTTATCTAAAATTTCCTAAAACATCCTATTCTCCTGTATTACTTCTGCTTAGTTATTGTATAGTAAGTGCACCAGAGAGGATACTCAACCTAGCATTCATGCTTTACATAGTTTACCCCAACCGGCATTTCCCTAGAAAGCAGGCTGTGTGTAAACAGAGTAAGCTTGGGGTCAGGTCGGCAGCAGTCTGAATCCCAACTTTGCCATTTTATTACCTGTAAGAGCTTGGACACGTTACGCAACTTCCCTAGGCTCAGCTCTGCAAGAAGGGTACTTATATCATCTAT